AATGAACGGTGTTATGTTTAACAGGTTGGTTAGGATCTGGTAATCTAGTAACTGAAGGAAATTCTTTTAAAATTTTGTGATATGGTGTATCACTAAATACAGTTTTTACTGAATAAATGCTTGCATTTTTCACGCAACCAACGGTTTTAAAATGCGTTTTTAAATCTTTGAGACATTTGTTTCTGAGATCAGGCACCAATTCAAAGAAATGGAGAAAATCTGCTCCAAGAATGGGTGTACTAACATTTGCTATAAGAAAAGTCCATGTAAACTGTCGTCTTAATTTGAAATCCAAAGAAAGTGTTTTTTGACCATAAACATGAATAGTAGAAGAATTAGCAGCGAAAAGTGTTTGTTGGGACGAATTCCGTTTTTGAGAATTATTTGCTGGAAGTAAGGACACGTCAGAGCCGGTATCGACCAAGAATGAAAGGTTTGTTCTAGGGTCACGAACGAACAGGCGACGTGAAACTTGAGGCAAAGAATAAGTCGCCTCTATTCTTTGCTGGTTTCGTTTCCCTGCCATGAACAAGGTTTTGTACATTTGTCATCTCTACACTTTTTCCCAAAACGTCTATGATACCAGCAAACAGAATAATCTCTCCTTTTGGAATTGCTTCTTTCCTTATTGCGATCTCCGCGATTTGGCGAGCGACCACGAGAAAGAGAAATGCGATCAATACGTTTGTTTAATTTTTCTATTTGTTTAAATAATTTATCCTCAAGAGACTGATCGACTGTGCGAGAAACGGCACAAGTCCCTGGGGTTGGATTTACTTCTAAAATTCTGTCGGCAATTGCTGCAGCTTCTTTATCTACAGTTAAATTGGAAACCGCTGCCAAAATATAGACTGAACAGTCGAAGGCAAACGTTGAAGGAATAATTCTAACATTAAGTTATCAGGAACATTTAAAGATTCTGCTCGACGTTTCATATTTCTAAGCAAATCGGAAGGTTTTCGAGAACCTAATTCTTCTCCAGATAATAATTGGCGAATTTCTTGCTGAGAAGATTCTCCTGAACGATTTATTAACTCAGTTTTAAGCTTTGCATATGGATCAATAGGGTCTGGTTTCATAAGTAAATCCCGTACTAGATTGATGCAATATCTGGAGGAAGATGAGCAACTACATAATTATATTTAGTAATGGATTCTGTGATAGGTTTGGGGGTGGCAAGAGCAAAGGTACTTTTCACACATAATAAACCATAAAGATGGGTCTGATCGGTTATAAACCGGAATTTGGACGGCATGAACATCAGACATTGTGCAAGGTTTTTAAGCCAAAAATAAAAGGAAAAATTTAACTAAAGAAAATGAAATTAAATGATAAGTAGAAAACAGAATTATAAAATGATCTATAATTACTACTCATCTGTGATCCGGAGGACGAAAACCGATGTAATCCATTACTTCTGGTTTGGAGATCTTGAGTGATGGCTTGTAGTCAAAACCGAAAGTGCTTGAGAACTGTTCATACGATTTAACACAGTCCGGGTTACCATTATGGTAACTTCCTGTTATGTTTTTACCACCAATCCTCGAATTCCATATCACAGATTATGTTCATACTGCATTAATATAAATATTAACAAGACATAGTGCACAATAAAAATTAAGCTTTATTTAGGAACATCGCGCACACTCCCCGACAGCCTGCCTGTTTCGCTCTGCTCGCTACTCGTAAGAAACTTCTCCTCTAGGGTTGCCACACTTATCGGAGGGCGCAAGGCGCGCTCCTTATCGCCATCACCACAAATCTATCGTTTCACACATTTTTTCCTTCCGTTCTCTTTGTTCAACAGCATTCATATTTCACAGCATAATTTTTACAATATTACCTTTCAAAATGGTAGAACTATATTCTACGGCGGACACATACACTCTCTACTATATTCAGTGTTCTCAAGTTAGGTTCACCTGAAGTATAGTCTGTCAATGTGCATAAACTCTGCTGGGCATAAACTTTGCCATAGTGCATATGTTTTCACACAACAGTTTGTACCCTACCAATACTGACTGAAAGCATTGGCACAAGTTGTTTGATGGTGATGTGCCTGTTCTCACGAATAACTGCATTCCCATGATCAGTGTTTCTTGAGGTGATGGATGTTTTCCATATGCTCTCTTCCCTCAATGAAGCACTTCACCACACGTGAGGCTTAGAAAAAATCTCTTCCCCATATCGTGCTTTGATGTCTCTGCCCTTGTCTCAAGCAAGAAATTTCTTTATAATATGTTGTTGCATGCTCTGAGGTGGCTTTGTTAGCTCATCACTCTGCAAGACATGACTGAACATTCTATTTTGCAAAGGAGATACGATAGGGGTAGTGGCATATTTGAATGAAGAATTGTGTTCATATTTTTGAATTCCCTTGTTATGACATGTACAATTAATGTCTGAACAATTTCCTTCGTGTTAACAAGAATGTAAACATTAGTCTAAAATAATACATATTATTTCTAAACCATTCACTGGTCAAGCACCTTTTGGAGCTTCTGAACCACACAATCTAACAAAGCTCCACTGCAAAGAAACACATCCTAAGGGGACAAACAGAATTTAGCATTTATTAATGATCATTAGAAAAACTATAATATTGTTGCAGTTCACAAAACTGCATTTACTGATCAACGTAAGAGATAACTCAGAAGGAAAAAATTATCACCATTACACATTTAATGTAAAAAATTAATCTTCCTTCCTTCCCTCCTTTTTTTAACCACATTATCTATGTCTCTAGTTCCATGGATTTGAATTTAATTCATATTTAATTTTTGTCAAATTCATAGTAGTAGACAATCACTCATGTTCAATGAAAATCACGCAACAAGTTCCATATTTTTTAATTCATCCTTCCTTCTATTATTTCTTTCAATAACAGGCTTGGGCCACATCAATGGATTCTGAAGGCCAAGTTCAGTTCATAGATCACTTCCATAGAGCCCCTGATTTAGGGTACAAGAGAATAATGAAGGATTTTCATAGTTGAAGCATTTTTTGAGTTACTATGTACCATAATAAAAATTGAAATTCAGAATTTATTTAAATCAGGAGTACAAACGTCTATTTGTATTTATGTATTTGCAAAGTCAGTGATAATGACTTCCCAAATGAATATTCATAAACAGAAATGACACTTTAAAAACACAAAATATTTGCAACAATGTAACAATTTGTGAAAACAGTTGGTAAAAATATCAATAAGAAATTTAGGGTTAGTTGTAATAAATATACCATGGCTTACGAAATAACACCACATACATGGGGGGGGGAAGGAAGACAGAGCAAGAGATATGAAAGAATGTGTGCATATATGCACTAATGATAAATGGCATATACAGCTAACTATGTAAATAACAAAAATTTTGCAGAATAAAAGATGAAAAATACAAAAGTAAATAAATTTTGATCTAGCAAGAGCTGAATAATTTAAATAAGTTATGGGAAGCAGCTAAGGAAAAAACAAAGAGAGCAACAAAAGTTATTGTGAAAAATCTTAGAGAAGAATGGCATGAAGATTAGCAGAGAAACATTCACAGCCATAAGGAAATTGAATGACGTAGAAAAAAAAACAAGCATTACGAGTGATGTGAAAGACACAAGCATTGGATCATGCAATCCAGAATGAAGCTAACTTACTATGTGCACCATCAGATGGATCATACTATATTAAAAATTCAAACAGGAATGATGAGGGTGTATGATACATCTGCTGAGATTTTGTTAGCTGGGATTCTAAATCTAGCACTTTCTTTTTGTAAGTGTTAACACTTACAAAAAGAAAGTGCTAGATTTATTTAGTAATTTATTTGCAAGATTTCCCTCTTAACTGTTTTGCATTAAATGTCATCACCTACAGCCACCAAATTTTGAACACATAATCCAGTGCCCAAAAGTGTGCACCTTGAGCCACAAATTTTAAATTTGCTTTTGCATTTATTTCCTGCTCTGTGTGAATTTAATGAATTTTTTTATTAATAATCTCAGTGATTTAAAAGCAGTGTGTTGCACTCAGCAAAACGTAAGATGCTTATGTTCCAAATTTTACAGGAAAAGTCAGTGGCTTAAAAGAAATGTATTGCCATTCTGCAAAGTGAAGCTATTTGTCTTTAATACTGAATAAACAAACTCAGCGATTTTAAAAGAAGTTTGTTGTCACTGCTCAAAAATGTGCAACAAAGTGTGGTTATTTGATAAAACTTATGATATTTAATTTTTTTTTAATCAATCTGTTAGTGATTAACAAACTAAAAAATTTAAAAACAATAAATGCAGCTCTTCAGTTCTATTAGTGTTAATTACTAACTGGACTCCTGAAATATTAGCTGGGCTCCTTATAATTCATTATACATTTTTATAACTATTTTATGTGACTGGCTTTATGTGCAGCTAGTGTATTAAAAATAATGAGATATAAAAAGGTACTCCCCTTTGTTGTAACAGCCATGGTGTTTATTGCCAGAATTGGCAATAAAACCAATTTGTAGAGTGCAAAATGCAAATATTATTTAACAACCAATTTGTAGAGTGCAAAATGCAAATATTGACAATGATTTATTTATGTGGCAGTAACTTTAACAAGGCAGTATCTTTAAAAGTTTAAAGTAATCAATTGGGGGTGGAAATGATCTGATAGAATGACACAAAAGCTTGTTTACTTTTTATGCTATATTTTTTATTTTTACCATTTGGAACAGAAAAATGTATACATATATTTAACTTTTTCACAGTTAAAAATGTAAAACAAAAACAAAATATCATTTCATGTGTACACAATTTATTTAATCATATATGTTATCATAATGTTGCACACGCATTACTTTCAAAGATTTAAATAAACAAATAAAATGGTTAGTATATTTAATTAAATACTATCATAATTAGACATGCTTTAATTTTCAAAATAATAAATTTACAATGTTATTATAAGTTACTATTTTTCGTAAAAAATTAATTTACCTAAGCTACACACAACATTATATTGTTGAACTTACCATTCTGATTGGTGCTGTCTGAACTAAAACTGTTTCCGTCAGATTTGCATCCATAGGTTCATTGATCTCAATGCCTTTTCTAGTGAGCACTTGTATTATGCCATGATGATTAAGGTTATGGTAATTAGGATCAGCATAAATGTTGGCTAATGCCAAGCAATACAGCTCAGCATTAGCCAAAGCATGTACTATCTGAGGTTTAAGTCTATCATTTCCCTATAATAAAAAATAAGGACATTTTTTGTTTATTATGATAAGAATACCATTCACATTAAGTATTAAAATAGACACTCAACACAAAATATTCAAGGTCTTAGAAAACTGAAATCCGACTACTGAATCCTGTAGAGATAAACAAATTGATATTTTATAACACAGTTTGAAACATGACAATCTTATCCTGCAAAAATACAGAACAAAAGCAGTCTCAACATTATATACATCAAAGATTTACAAAACAAAAATACAGATAATTTATTAAATGATATAAATTCACATGGAAAAGAAACTGCAGTAACAATACTGCTAATGCAATAAGTATCTTAAAATACAAGAAACCAACAAATTATTTCTCTACAAATGTGCTAATTAATTACAAGTTTGTAAAGAAAAATATCTGGTTTTAAGAAAAAGTTTTCCATAAAAAACATTTTTAATAAAGTAAGGAAAAACATGAAAGCAATACCTCTAGTGCAGGTAGTAATTACCATCCAAATCTATGATTTTTCTGCCAAAGTTTTGATAGTTTTTCAAAGCCTTCGGTCCTGACACTTGGTGCCCGGGAGTCCAAAAAGAGATCAACCTCATTTCGGACACCCTGTGCAGAATGGAAGATAGCACCAGGAAAATGTAGCTGCAGGTGTGAGAAAAGGTAGAAGTCCAAAGGAGCGATATCAGGGCTATATGGTGTATCTGATGAAAGATCCCACTCGAGTGCGTACAGAGTCCAGCTGGTTAATGCAGACACATGTGATCTTGCATTATCTTGATGGAACGTTACTTTTTTGCTCCAGAACTCAGTTCGACGTTTTTCCTTGATACCAGTGTCAACATGGACTAGCATCTCGCTGTACACCTTACTGTCAAGGATTTTATCTTTTTCCAGATGCACTACAGAGGATAATACCACTGCAATCCAACCAGATACAAAGCATGTTCTTTTTGTTAATCAAACTGCACTTTGTGACGTTGCTGAAAGACTCACTGGACACAGACCAAACCCCTTTTCGGTCTATGTTGCTGAAGTAGATTCTCGTTTCATCACAAGTGATGATCTGGTCCAAAATTTTGACCCTGCATTGATATTTCAGCAGATTAGTACAGGCCCGAACATGTCTGCCATTATTTGCTTGAGCGAGCTTCTGCGGCACCCAACGATTGAACTTGTACGTCAAGTCTATGTGACACATAGCGCAACTAATGGACATGGTACTAACATTTAACTCCTTAACAAGCACTCGAGTGGTTGCAAAATGACCTTCTTCCATAAATTTTCCTAGGCGGGCCTAATCAACATCAGTAGGCAGACCAGAGTGCTCTGCTTCTTAAATGCCATAGCCCTTGTTTTTGAACTTTCGGTACTAAACCTTCACAGTGTCATATGATACAACATTAGTACCTAAAGCTGTACACATGACTTTTTAGCAACAGAACTGGAAGTAAATGATGGTTCTAATCAGGGCTGTAAAGTCGGTAGGGAAAATGACCGACTCTGACTCCTTCATGTATTTATATATATGTAAACATATACACATGGGTTACAGCTTATTTTTCTAATATAAAAGAAAAAATACATGCTACAAAACACACACACAACACACACCACACACAAAAAAAAAAAAAAAAAAAAAAGATGACATAGCAAATTATTTATATTAATCACCATTTATTATGAAATGGAAAAACTGGCATTTAATTATTTCTAAGAAACAATATAGCTTCGGCAAGATCTTTGTTGGAGGACCACAGATCTGATTTGATAAACTTCAGAGCTGAGAAGAGCCTTTCCACACTGACTGGAGTAGGAGGAAGAGATGTTACTGTTAGGGCTACTTCTTTTAACTTTTCAGGATAGTTTTAAAAGAGGTGTCTTACAAGAGCAATCACATTTCTCTATTTCTTCAAAGGCCGTGCAGAAATTCTGTTTGTATTTTTTTCATTTTTATATTTAAAGGCTCTTGGTTCGCTACTTTCATTCACTTTGCCTTAGCCTTTTCAATATTATCCAAAACCATTTCTCAAAATCTAATTCATCACTGAAAGAGGATGATAGAGACTCAGTTGCAATGTCTGCAGTTTGACTGTCCTGATTTGAATACTCCAATTGTTCTGAAAATAATTTCATAGATGGATTTCTTTGCCTTCTTAATTTGTTCATCATCCAAGAAAATCCGGTGTTTTGGATCTACATATATTGAACCCAGCAAGATCTCATTTTCTCTCAAACTAGTTTCTCTTTTCTTCATTGAAGACATGATTCCTTCTGCAATAAACCCTCCATTTCAGAAAGTACTAACATCACATTCTTCCATTCTTGCTTCCTGTTCATTCTTCAGATTGTAGCTTTTTTGTGGCTATATTCAGTATAGAAAGAAGAGTTTCCAATTCTGCAAGATCATTTCACAGTCTTTCTGTTAGTGAAACATTAGGGTCATCTACATCTTCTAAAAAAGTTCTTAATTCTCACAACCTCTATATCATCAAATATGTACTTCCCCATAGCATTGCTTGATGATTAATTGATCATTTTCCTGCTCACTTCCTAAGAATAGCATCAATTTTGAAGGTTCTTGCTGCTACTGCTGCTTACCTAAATTTACCAGTGAGATTTGGGAGTCAGAGTCATGGAGTCAGAATAGGAGTTGGGCAAGTTTTGGGGTAAAAGGAGTTGGAGCTGGAGTCACTAAAAACAGGTCGACTCCAACTCCCGTTTTTGTTGGACAGTTTGAATTTGAAATGAAATTAAAGGGAATTGAAAAAAATTAATGACAAGCTGAGTTATTATTTTTATTTATGGATTACATTAATAAACAGTTATGTTCTATTTTATTGACATATTAATAAATAAATATAAGGGAGGAGGATAGATTTGATATTTGCCATTAGTGATTAAAACTTCATTTATTACCTAAATTTACCAGTGAGATTTGTAACTCTCACGCAAGAAAGGAAGTATAATAGTAAATAACTATCTAAGATTGATGTTTTAATTTACATGAAAGGTTAATTTCATATAATACTTTTTTATTATTACAGTTTATATAAAAAAAGGCTAAACATGACTGAATGAAAGCATAAGAGTAAATAACTATTTCAGATCATTATTATCATTTATATAAAAATTGCTAAACATAACTGAATGGATGCCTGCATCGCTATTTCGCTACCGAGTTATCGCTAAAGCATAGTTTCATCTCGTTGGTTGTTCAAACATAATTTTCTAGAACGAATCATGCCTTTTCTTTGAAAAAATTCTCAGTAAAGTGCAGAATAGCCCACTTATTGGTTTGCTGCTTCTTACAAGGGTAAAAACATTTGGATTTTTGTCAATTTTCTTTTTTAAGTGAAAATAGGTCAATGTGAACATAGATAAAGGGTGTGTGTGCGCAGTGCCATTTTTGTGCAATTCTGGGGATTTTTTTTTTTTTTGAATTGAAAATAGGTCGATGTGTACTTGGATACCAAGTATGTGCAATTCTTAAAAACGCTCCAAGCAGTGGGTGATTCTGCACTTTACCCAAAATTCTATTGCAAACTTTTTGTCATAGGCAATTCCCAAATTGTTAAATCCATAGGATATCAAAAAAGGATTTTAAAATTAAACTAGTATTTCAATGGCATCCTAAGAAATATAGAACTATATAAACTTACGCAATCTGAAATCAACGTGTACGCTAGATTTGGCGCATCTGCGCATACATTTTCGCTGTAATTTTTTTACGGTCCTCAAAACGGAATAGTACCTAATAAAATTACATTTGACAAATCTATGAGTGGAGACATCAGTGGGAATGAATACTGAAAGCTTGCATTCTTCATCATCATACTGGCCCAAGATCTGGATTTGGCATGAGATGCCAATAAATATACATATCCTTCACCTTTAGTCTGGATATCTAGCACTTTGACTTGACACTGCTGCATTACAGATATTTTAATATAAGCAGATGTGCTATATTTTCAGGGCTTCCATCTCCACACTTTTTAAAAGGACAGTGTAAGATTGCATGTTACCCATGCTACGAAACAAGGCAAAAGTAAAATCTTGGATGCTACGAAACAAGGCAAGAATAAAATTTGGTCTGTGATTGTTTTGTTGTATAAGCATATAATTTTTTAAAATTTAATTTGATAAATGAACAAGGTCTTGCAGTGCAAGTAATTTATATATGCTTTAGTCTATTGAGCATCATGTGACAGTAAGTGAGCCCATAATTCTTCTGTCTTTCACAATATGACTGTGGACAATTAGTTCCTATGCTCTGCTTCATTTATATAGCCCATATTCCTTCATTTATATAGCCCACATTCCTACTATTATATATATTTACGACAGCATTACAAATGTATGAGCAACTATTCTTGCACTGGCCCCTTTTATGAAAAAAAGGCTGGGGAGAAAGCAGTAAAAAGAAGGAAATGATTAAGATGAAAGTTATGGTGGAAATCATGGAGAAGCATGCAACTGGCTAACACCACAAGAGTTTATATCAAATCTATGCTGATGATTCGTATAATACATCCATTCAACTACAATTATAAGTGGCAAACAGACCAAAAAGGTGACAAAAAATAACATGGCAATAGAAATTTTGTTCCACAATACTTTTTCTCAGTAAGCCTGCATGGGTGCATTATGTAAATAAGACATTCTTTTTGCCTTCTTATGTAAAATTTCCTTTCCAAAAAGCTGGAAAGCTTTCCAAATGAGATCAAACCGCAGTGTTTATTCAATTAATGATAAACTCAAACAAAATTTTCAAAACTGAATAATTATTATTGCTATTAAACATATGAATAAGGTCTAAATGTTCTTTACATACAGGGTGAATCTGAACAAGTAGACAAAACTTTACGAGGTGATAGAAGGCAGCTATATGAGCAGTATTTGCCACAGAATGTCTGGTTGGAATGTAAATGGTGAGCCACTAGATGGCACTGTAAATAAATGGAATAGAAAGGGTCGGTCCTCGCACTCAACGGCATTTTCTACTGTGATTGCGAAGAGGATTGCTGGTGATATAAATCATGAAATTTCAGGGTGATGGATTGGTCAAGGTGGTCCCGCAGTTTGGCCAGGACAATTACTGGATCTCCTGCATTTGGACTTTCCCTGTGGGGCCATATGAAAAGCCTAATCTATGAGTGCCCCACTGAAGCCAATATGGATCTAGTTACCAGACCTCCGGAAATGTCTGGTGTCTTCGTAAATGTGAGTGAATCCCTATCCCACAGGTGTGAAACCTGAATTATATCTGGCAGAAGGTCTTTTGGGCAATTTCTATGAGCTCAAAATGTTCTGTTAATAAAATGTTTCCTGAAGTAACTTCTCTCATTCTTGTGTTAATTCTTTAAATGTGACAGTGGAAAACTATCCTATAACTTCTCACTCCTTGTGTTCCGACCATACATTCTATGATGAATATTGCTCATATAGCTGCCTTCTATCCTCCCGTAAACTTTTGCCCACTTATTCAGATTCACCTTGTATATATAAAAGAGAGCAATAAAAATACAGTTCAAATAGGGCAATGAGGTTTGCTCTTGGATAGAATCCTGGTTAGAATACAGCTTTAATATTTTTTTATTATTATTATTCTGAATAATACAAGATAAAAAAAAATTATAATTTTGGTTTCTTAGTTCAGTAATTCTGTAAATGCGCTTACTTAGCTTTCACTAACAAATGAAATTCAAGCCTATATTTTACTAAGCATATTTTTAAAACTAACTAATGTATAGCCTAACAAAGGAAGAAAATCAAATGATTGAAAATGAATTGAGAATTTTAAACCTCTCTATTGTTTAACCCTCTGAGCAGCCAGGGATTTTGGATATGTCACGAAGACCTGCATCTAAAGAGCCCTTTATTAGCTAAATTTGTATATTTATCTATTTTAATCTCTATTTTCATAAACTGACATTCATTAAGATTGCATTTATATTATTAATGAAAGTAAGAAAGAAAAATATCTTAAGTTATAAGCTAGTATATACCAAGTAACCAAAAATCTCATGACCGGATAAAGCGGGCCATGGCACTCAAAGGGTTAATAAGAAAATATAATATACATTAACTCAGAGTATTACAGTTTGGATACAAGCAAACAAATTTTTTACAGTTAATTCAATAATTCACAGTTACAAAAGAAATATTTAAACTTGTATCTGAAATTTTTATTTAAAAAAAATTACTACAATGCTGAAATATATGGTCAACTTTACTGGATTAAACAGCAAAGATCAAGACAATCCACAATCCAGCTCACTTTTATAAGTGGCCAGTTTAAAGCTCAAGTTCTACAGAGTTCACTTCATGGCGAGCATTTAGAAAAGAGATACTAATGGGTGTTTAAAACTGAATTTTGTCAACTGATAAGACTTAAAAATTATTAAATTTTTTAATACATGTATTATAGCTGATAACAGTCTGACTAATCACTAGTCAGAGTCTAAACCTTCCATCTAAAGCATATAAAATGCATCATCTGTTAACACTGGTTGCAACATTTGGGTACCTCCCATTACTCATTTTTATTGATGAAACTCCATCAGCGGCAGTTTCTGCACTATCTATGGTAAATTTAAAGAGATGTGACCTTCAATACAGAAGCTAATCATCCTTCTTGGTAAGTCAGCCATCTTAATTCTCATGAATTCTCATAAATATTTTATGAAGACACCCCTCAGGAATCAGATCTGAAATGCCTAGCATAAAGTCAGTAACAATCCCTATCATATGCTAATCACTACCAGATGCCAGTGACAGTATGTAGCACTGTTCTTTTTCTTATTTCTGCATACCAAAGTCAGACTAAGTTAAGACACAATAACACGCCGAATAAATACTAATTCAGAAGTCAAACAACAAAAATTAAAATTTTTTTTTGTTGTTTGACTTCTGAATTAGTCAGACTAAGTTGCTTTTGCTTGCTTAGTTCACCTGAAGGTCTGTCGAGTCGTGCACAAGGTGATGCAAACTACACTGATAATCCTTCGCAAGCATATAGCAATATATATTTTTGCAATAGCTCTTCAAGTTTAATATCACAAATCATAAAACATTTGGTACTGTATCAACTGGCAATCTACCGAATTTCGTTAGTACTAGATGGAGCCACCTCTTTTTCAAATTATTTTGTTTGTAAAAGCAAAGTTTATGCTTATTGTTTCTTTCATATGCAATTTTTCTGTTGAATTTGCAAAGAGATTTTAAAATGCTGTCTTCGAAACTTTGTTATCAATATACTTTCAAATAGAATTTTTTTTTTTTTTCAAGTTTACATTACAAAGAGATGAAATAGTAAATAAAATAACTGTTATCTTAAGCAGCAACCGTGTTTAATTTATCTCTCTTAAATTCTTTAACTTTTTTTTTTTTTTTAATACTTTGCTCACAACAAATTGTTTGTAAATAGGTTTTGAAAAACTAAATATAGCAGTACAAAATTGAGAGTTTTTCGTCTTACCTCTTATTTGTTTCATTCAATATATGCATGCATGAAATTCTTGATATAATCCATAACATTTAGGGGCTCACTTTTAGTTATATTAATATCAAGTAATTCATTGAAATATTTAAACCAGCTAATGTAATTTTTTTAAAAAATTTCTATTATTCGCACACTGAAAGTTTTCTTATATGCAGCATAAAACACAGCAAAAGAATAAATATTTTACAAAATATAAAAATTATTAATATTAAATAATAATAAATCTGATCATGCAAATTTGAATAAAATGGTGGAAGGAAAAAAAAGTATAAAAACAACAATTTCAGAGGCACCACCTACTGATCTGTAAAGTAGGTGCACATATAAGTAAGTTAGATTGCCTACTGGGAGAATAGCAAACATTTTGCGTTGACTATTTTTGTTACTTGGCAACACAAAAAGTTTTATGAGGCAGTGTTATTTTGAAAGGTTGCCAATATTTTTTACTTTAAAAACTAATTGTCTCGATTGAAAATTAATTTTCTTCTGACTTTTTTAATAAACATTTGCTCTATTTTCATACTTGCAAAAAATGTTCTGAAAACAAAATAAACCCCTCCCCCCAAAAAAAAGTTTGTGAATGAAAATAGAAGTTTTATTTTTTTCACTCTTGTAAAAGACAAACCATTTATGCTCAGATTAAGTATCTATGTTAAACTGCACTATGAGATAAAACCTGACATAAATTATAGAAACATCCAAGGCCAAATGTTGAAAGATAAATAGAATTAATTGCAGAAATGGTTAAAAACAACAAAATATATTTAAAGCTCAAAGTTCTTCATCAGATTTGGCAGTGAACGCTAGTCACACTGTTAATCAAATTTTAGCCAAAAATCATCTTATCATTGCTGATGGTAAGATGATTACGGAATGTTTAACTGCTGTTAAAGAAATAGCTTTTTCTGATTTTTTTTTTTTTAAAAAGATTCCTAAATTAGTTTGGCAAGATTATCAATGGAAGGAAAAATTGAAGACCTGTTTGAAAACATTACTGCAATTTTGGGCGAACACATTGAAAAATTTGAATGGTTTCTTGGGGTTTGATGAAAGGTGTGACATATCACAACTAGTGATATTTGTAAGAAGTAATTCCAATTTTAATATATCCATTATGTTCCCTACTATCATGTAACATATTTGTGAAACATAATATTACATTTATATCTATTTTTAAGACCATTAATTTGTATTCATTTGGAAACAAAAGGTCCATGCAGACTAAAGTACTATTCTGTCCACATGTCTAATTTGCCCACAGTATTTTACATACCATTAAACTATAACTTTATTCAATATATAGAAGTTTCTCTTAGAATACATGTGACGAATTCTGGATGCATACCACAGTATCCAAACTAATACAATTGTGCACAAACTGTTTGTTGACGTACTAATGAACTTTTGCCTCAATATGAGTGCATTTTTTTTTTTAAAACTTAGAAATACATAGCTAAATAACAATTCTAAAAAACTGCATTACTTTGAGTAATTCTGCAGACTATTACAATTTTTTCAATTTTCATTAAAAACACAAAAGAACTAATTTTCAAAGTACAATATATATGAATTTGGTGTTTTTCTTTCTTATCCATGTTGGCACAGACAAAAAAAGCAAAATTGTTTGGAATATTTTATACTATGTAAGTCATAATTTAATACAGAGTAATGCAGCTTATTATATTAAATATTATAATAATATGCATTTCTCTGCTTATTATAATATTTAATACAATAAGCTGCATTTTTTATTTCTCAAAATATTATAAAACATAAATATTGCAGTGATTTTAATCATAGTTTTCTTAATAAATTCATAAATGACTAACCTCATGATCTCGGTAACAAGGCTCATACAGCTCTGATGGAATTTTGGGCATATAAGCTTTAGACAGAAGCCACAGAACAGATGCTCGCTGTTTTGCCTGGTTTTAAAAAAAGAAAATACAGTTACTACATATTATAAATTTTAGCTTTCAGTAACACGTACATGCATTACCTAGATGATGCATCTAAAAGACATTAGTTTATACAAGGCAAAAATCGTCTCTTGGTGATATTTGCGGCAAAAAATCTAATTCATCAGTCAGTCACACACATGTATAGTAAATATACCATTAGATCTGTTTTAATTAATGATACTGCTGTTATGAAGACAGACATCATAAATACAGATGGTTTTACCTAATCATATAAGAGTTTAATGTTTAAAAACTGAACTTTTTCCTTGAAATATGGAGTTCATTTATAAACGAAGCATATACTACAAGTATGTTATTTCCTGCAAGTTTCTAAGATTTATATCTAATTGGTGTAAAATCATCTCAAGAGGTAAAAAATACCCTCATTTACAATTTACAAAATCTAAAACAGTTTTCAGCTGAAACTATAATACAAAATGCATATAAATAATTTTGGTATTCTTCTGTTATCGAGACTGCTTTCAGAAATGTATATGTTATGCATATATGCATTATAAGTACATATATTTCTGAACCAGGTCCTGATAACAGAAAAGTACCATAATTTTCTTGAAATAGACTTCTAATACAAACACTTGTTTCCCATTCAGACTTTTCACTGAATATATCACATTCAAATAAAAGAAATAATTTCTATAAAGCCAGCTCTCGATTGACCAGGTTATAAGTTAACCAGACACTGCCTCACTCTTCAAACCAGAAGTTTATTTAATAATGATAAAATAAAAATGATCACAAACCATCAGAGTAAAACTCTACAAAACATGGAAAAAAGATAGATAACACATGTAATAGCAAATGATATAGTATCTGGGAATTATTTGTAAAGAACAAAAAAATAGATGTTTGTGCTTCTTAATTCCCTTTTCACTATTTTGCAAAACAAAAATTCTGAACTAAATGATAATAGTTCTGAATTTCCTTGGAAGTATTATTCTTTAATACCATTTACAACTTTAATTTCTTAATTCCTGATGTTTATTCTTCTATTGTTTACAATGTGTTTTCTTAAGTGTGAATATTGAATTATTTTACATAATCACTGGAATTTATTTTTCAAATTGAACTGCTTGTGAATGCAGACAAACTGATAATCTTATTTTTCTCCCATTTATTATAATAACTTTTTCTTGTGTTTTCCAGCTGAACTTGGGATCAATCATGAATTTGACTAAACCAAAGACATAGTCCAATTGGTTGATTGACTAGATTATAAGAAACTAAAGGTAAAAACAACTAGAAAATTCATAAATATTTAATATCTAATACGTAAACAAAACGCGTAATTTGTCTTAACTCTATTCTTTTAATGCTCTAGGCCAGTGTTTTTCAACCACCGGCCCGCAAACATTATTCGCCGGTCCTTCCAACTGTTTTTAAATTCCGTAATTTTGTATATTTAAAGATTATGTCAGTAGCCTAAATTACTAACCTTACCGATCCGAGACAAAACACAGAAATATTTTGCCGATCCTACGAGTAAATCAGGTTAATAAACACTGCTCTAGACCAGGGGTTCTAAATCTTTTTTGATCCATACACCCCTTTTATCATCGCTAGACTCTCATCCCTTCTCCCCTTTCCAAAACTTGATAAATACATATAAAATTTAAATTATTTTCCAATGTGTTATATAAATTAAACAAAAAATAATAATATATATACCAAAACTTGAACAAAAGTAGTTTTTTTTTATAGTCATAATATAATACTTAACTAAATTAAAGCTGACTGCGTTCTTCACTGGTTGAGGACCCCTACTCTAGACATATATATTTTTGATAATATGTCAATAAAGGCGCAAATATTTTTATAAATAAAATGGTATACATAATATTATATAAACATTTAAAAAACATAAATATTACCTCTGTATTTATTTGTTCACGCGTACTCATTAGTTCTGATTTTAAAGACAAAAAAAGATAATAAAATTTATTAATTGTATTAAATATATGCAGACGGCCACTGCACGGGGGAAAAATTTTCTAACATATATTTGTTTATTAAAGTTTTTTCCTAATCACATCATTACATTGGATGTAAAAGCAGCAAATAACCGAAAACAATAAATAATATTTAAAGGAGTCAAAATACTGGGCAGTATGGGTCCATACAAAAGTGATTTGAGGATCTAGAATTATAATAATTTTATCCACAATGATGACAGTATTAGATGTCACACATGATATCCGGTGCCGGCAGCTGTCAAAATATGAAAACAAATCCATTTTCGCATAATCCAACATGATAAACGTAGTAATCCAAAAGCCTTTGGTAATTTCACAAAAATGATGCCTTCATATATTACGAAAATATTGCACAGGGCAAGAGACACCGTTAAAATGCTTCTTTAAAGCACAGGTGTATAACATCGGCTACCCTCCTACGAGTTGAACACACACACACATGCATAAACATTTGTCCAAAAATGGTCCGGAGATGATTTATCCAACTCACCAGAATCAGCTGGTAATCGTCCCGCTCCCTTACCAAGAACAAAGGGGCAGACAGATGAACCATCTTCAGTGTCTGTTTTTCTGTTCGTCACTTAATCCATAAAGAAGGTGCAAAATGAAATATTAGAAATCCAACTAAGTATCTAAACGGATGCATTGAAACAACATACAAGTACTCGCACGCCCAGTATCTGGGCCGCGACTGCAGATCGCGCGACGATGGTTTTGCTTTGGCCCCTTCTCCACAGTTTGCGCGGCCGCAAAAGTTGTAGAGCAAGTTTTTTTTTTTTTTTATTTTTTATTTTATTTATTTATTTATATTTTTCTTCTTATTTTTCAAATGAGAATCACCAGACCAAAACGCGACCTTTCTTTGCCGAAACTTAGAAAGTGCGTACAATAATTTTGTGCACCTTATTATACATCCACTTGGTGCCGTTAAAGGTCATCACTAAAGGCTATTTCTAATATTAAGCTATATAAACAGGGAAGTAATATTACATTTGTCATAAATCTAATCAATACAAGCAAATATTTACCGATATTATCTTAATAATCACACTTATTTAATAAATTAATTTTAATAATTCTATATTATTTAATGCCAGTTGGAAAGAGCCAGAGATAGTACAACGTGCTATTTATAAAAAATCCCAATATAACACGCGCTATTTAAAAATACCTTTAAAAAGGAATATAAATTATACATCTAAATTATTACAAATTCGGTAAATTGAAATAACATCGTGCTAATTTGCTTTGATATAATTAACAAAGAATTTTGCTAATACTTCTGCTGTTGTCATTTCTTAAAGAAAACGTGTAATGTTCTTCCCTTAAATTAAAAACTCATTATTAAGCAGAGTGCAAACTACTATTCTGCACAGAAGTACGCAACGCATGGAGTTAGAAACATATCTTATTAATTACAGTAATGGCGCAAATGCTCATATATAAACTTACCGATTATATGTATTACACGTTATTTTAATTAGATGTGTTATAAATAATTGTATCAATTAGAAGCGTTGTTAAAAATAAACATATAAGCAAATAACATGCATATATACTGTTTTCCAATAGCTCGTTTTGTTCAGCAATGCGTTCTTTTAATTTGAAAGCCAGAGATTTTACGTAAAACCAAATATAACACTTCCGAGAAATGACAATTTACCATGCCGCATACATGTATAACACCTTGACAGTGCAAGGTGTTATACATGTATGCGCAAGAAACCCCCAAAACAAAACAAAAAAAAAAAAAAAAAAAAAAAACTGAAATGTTTCAGATTTTAAATTACGTCCAAAGGGGCGTTTTTTAACATTTTGTGTGTTACCTTTCTTTATAAATATCATGTTCCTCGCACTTAAACCATAAGATCCAGTGCAACAGCAAATTGCAAAATAGTTTTTAAAACGAGCATATCTTTAGAATTTCCGATACAGAGACTCCCGCGCTGGAGATAAAAATGTTTTTTCTGCACAACGTTGCCATTGCTCGCTTTGAAATCCTTGAGTTTTGTTAATCAAAAATTCGTCAAAGTTTAAAAAATAGGAAATCGATCATAAACAAATTTCAAATTTCAAATTTGGTCCTTCCACATGCTCATATTCGTTGGAGGATTACGTTATTCAAAATTCGATGACTCTATGTACCGTTTTTTATGACAATGTGAGAAATATACATACATTTACGCAGATTTCATTATTTAATTTCTTCAAATATAATGCAGGACTCTAACATTTTATGGCAACAGTTTGAAAAACGAACCGACATTTATCCGTCCGACGCAAAATGCCAAAACGAAACTAATAGTCCTTCGGGATTCAAATCCCTTTGGACTAAAACAAAAAAAAATAAGCCATAGATATTTCTACATTAGAAAGATAGATTTTCTATCATTTCTTTGACTCAACAACATTTCCTACAAAATCAGATATTGTTTTCAGTTTTAAAACTTTGGGAAGGGAGATCAGCCATCTTTATAGAAATAAACCTATTCTTTTTAATTAAAAGTAAAAAATATACCAATTCAACACTAAGCTGTAAAAATTTATTTAGTTCGTGGATTCCTAGACATTGAAAGGGGGAAGATCTGGTACACCAACTTAGTATTTCGTAGCTCGTGGGAGCGCAGAACTGCGAAAAATGAGATCCACGCCTATGTGGGAACATTCTGTAGGCAATAAATATCCTACGTTTTGCATACCGGTTTATAATTTATTGGTATTTGGTCATGCGTATGAATATCTGTGGTTTATAGTTCGCTGTATTGCACTCCCGATGTATTCGAGAACATTGTGATATGCAGAATTGAGATATGAAGATATGAATACATTCGAGATAGATTAATTTCATGAGATTTTTTTCCAAACCCAGATCATTTCATTAGCCAGAAACAACTGGATAAGCGAGCTTTCAGACCAGTCGACTCATCACTGTTTTTCAAATTCAAGTGTCCGATGTTCAAATTGCGAGCTGCAAAGTTCGGTGTCGTGTGTTCATCAAGGATACTTTTGAATGTCAGTTCCTAAAACCCATAAAACAAGGGAAATTTCCACAGTTCTCATGCTTATGCGCCCAATCCTATGGACACTGAGACCTCAGTAATGAATTATGAGAGACAGCCGAAGTAGTATCCTTATTGCGTGGAATGATTCTTCAGCTGATGCGCTGGTCATGTTTACCAGAAAGTCGCATTACTGTCAAAAGTCCAAAGATTTTCCAGAATTCTTGCAGTTACAGTATAATAACCTTATGAGAAAATCTAATCTTGCCACCGAAATGTATGACCATCTCACGAGCTCCAGCTCTCTGACTGCAATAAAAATGGTTTAAATCACTAAAATTTGCCATCCTGAGTGTGAAAACAGCTTAAGAAATTTCAACAGATATTACTTTGCACATGCAATGGTAGATGTACCAAATGACGTCAACAAATAGCGTTACTTTCTGCATAGACTTATTTGCATCGGTTTTTCTGATGCTTCAGTGCATAATATATCTGCATATATCATCTGATAGCGTTGATATATGCAGATAAAAATAGCTACAATATGTTCTCAATTTGCTTTCTAAATACGACGCACTACTTTTAACTACATGAACTAAAAATACATTATTAGATTCTTATTTGCTTCGTTTTTTCCCCTCCTCAAAATATCTACCCCTTCCCCTCAAACTATGAAAAGCTTAAAGATAGCGCGTTCCGTTTGATATTAAATCTTAACATTATATCATGTGCCTGAACTGAATTGCAAATGACAAGATTTACTAATTTCTGCGATATTAAATTAATAATAAAAACAAAAAGAATTTAATTCATGAATTCCTGACACTCGCCATCAGTTCTTTTTATTGCGAAAGAAAGAAAATGGCACTTTGCATGAATGAAACTCCTTCCGAATATTTGATCCCAAAACTAAATTCGGCATTAATGAAAATCATAGAAATGCACTTCAGATATGGAAAACATGATGAAGAAAAATTATCGAAAAATACACAATCTCAATCATCAGTACAAAACCGAAGTAGGCACTAGAAAACTTAAGAAACGATTCTGATATTCAAGAAATGTTAAAAATCGTCAACGTATATGTAAGGCGGTAATTTTCTTCTTCCGCAATCTTCTTACAAGCGCAAATCATGACACTATTTTATGCAATCTTTCAATCTTACATTGCATTTCGTTACATATTTCCGTCACACGCTTTTCGTCATAGAAAACGATGCCCAGTGTAAAAAAACAGAACTTATAGTTACCTCATTTTTATATAAGATATTGCGAATTGTTAATAGAACGAACCGTAATTTTTATAATTAAGCAAACGGAGATAATAATCTATGCGAATAATGCATAATTTCTTGGAAGTGGGAAAATTAATTATTCAGTAATCTTGGTCGGTAGATTAATTTTTTGGAAAAAATTGAATATTCTATTTAGTTCTATTTAAGATATACAACTATCCTCAGCATCGTTTCATTCAATAAACAGAGTAAACACGACTATTGTTAATTTATTACGTTTAAATACGTTTTAGATTTCTTTACAACACAACTTATAATTGTATATTTTTAATTGTCATTCTTTTTGTTAAATTTCTCGAGAAGAATTTATGTGAATTTGTTAAGAATAAATAATATTTCTTCAAGTTAGTTAATTTATTTATAATTTATTACTATTAATTTTTTGTTTGTTTGTTTCATTAATTTTTTTTTGGGGGGGGCGGCATTTTAGTCTAAGCTAACATTTTATTTAAAAAATCATGTTAGCAGGTCTCATGCTTCATTTCTTAAATAATCCAGAAATAAAAATTAAAAAATACTTTAATCAGATGGTTACACGAAATGAATTGGGAAAGAACGGGTAGCGTAAATGAAATGAGAGGCAAACTAATGATGACAAGAAATGATACAGTACATATCAGCATTTTGAAGATGCAGGAAAAAGGATAATGGCCTATATAATGCACCACTCACGTACACGGAGTGTTATCGAAAGCATTCCGCTATCTGAAGAGGAAACTGACATCAATGCAGTTATTTTAATCTGGTATGCCTAACATAGCTATTGTTAATACTGTGACCGTATAATTTGTAATCTATTTTTGTAATTAGACCTCACATGTATTATAATTACACAAATTCCGATGTCGAGTATGGAAAACATGCATTGAAAATGATCAAACAATTGGAATTAACCTCTTATCCAACCTAATTTGTCAGTTTCCGTGCAAAAATTACTTCCCCCTTTTTTTTAAACACTTTGTACTTTAAACAAGTACAACAAAATATAAAAGATTCCAGAAATATTTTTCTAAAATTTTTGCGATTTTTAATATTTTGTGCCACGAGGTCAGTCCGTTCGATCGTAGAACAACACTACAGGTGAACTACCACTTTTCGTGGCTTTGACAACACGGCCCATAGGCCGGAAGTTAAGTCTAAAGTATCTCAATCACTATCGCCTAATGCATTTTTTTTTATAAAATTAAAAGTAAATAATTGCAAACATTTATTTCCCACATACACACATATATATCTGTAGTTACAGCTGTCATGCTATAAAAAATACATATTTATAGCTTGTAAATCGATCTACAAATAATAAAAATACGGATAATTTACATCAGAAGTCAAGACCACGAATTTCTGGACGTTCCGCTGGGAGGGAGGGGACAGTGGTTCTTCTAAAACCAAAGAAAATAACTGCCCATTAAAAACTTGTAATTCGGCACCTTAAAAAAATGAGGTGACCAAAAACTAATTTTTAAAGTTTTTTGAGTTGTGAACTATGAAATC